GACCCACAAAAAGTTAAAGTGTCTACACTTACTTTTTTAAGTCAAGTGTTTCCATAATTTTTGTCTTGGTAAATTTCTTTCACACATGTGGGAAGAAAGAGTGACATTTCAAAGTCACATCTTCGTAGAGAGCCAAGTTTGAGAGTTACAGGCAAGAAAGGGAGGGCATGGTCTATGCTAGGAATTTTTTCTCCAGAAAATTCCTCCATGCACCATGTTAGGGCTGATTCTGCCCTTGAAGGCAACTAAAAAGGAGCACCTCCTTTGGGATTCAGTTTCCCTCAAATATATACATCCACATGATCCTTAGTTATTTTTTTATTTATTAGAACATAGCAGAAATAAGTCTGACAGTACTGTTATTTCAAGTGATTCTGGATATGAGTGGTAAAGCTGGATAAAGAGGATATTCTTAGATTCCATAAAGGAATGTAATTTGAAAAACAGACATTTAGGGAAAAGACTGGGAATTTTACATTCTTACTGCATTAAAATATATTGACTCCTGGCCGGGCGCGGTGGCTCAAGCTTGTAATCCCAGCACTTTGGGAGGCCGAGGTGGGTGGATCACGAGGTCGAGAGATCGAGACCATCCTGGTCAACATGGTGAAACCCCGTCTCTACTAAAAATACAAAAAATTAGCTGGGCATGGTGGCACATGCCTGTAATCCCAGCTACTCGGGAGGCTGAGGCAGGAGAATTACCTGAACCCAGGAGGCGGAGGTTGCAGTGAGCCGAGATCGCGCCATTGCACTCCAGCCTGGGTAACAAGAGCGAAACTCCGTCTCAAAAAAAAAAAAAAAAAAAAAAAAAAAAAAAAAAAAAAAAAAAATATATATATATATATATATATATATATATATATATATATGGAGAGAGAGAGAGAGAGAGAGAGAGACTCCTTAGCACATGCTGGTAGTGTCAGATACAAGGGTTCCCAAGGCCAGCCTCCAGCTCAGTACTTCTCTAGAAGACTCACAAGACTCAGAAAGAAACACACCATGCTCACAGTTTGGTTCACCACCATGAGAAATAAGATTAAAATCAGCAAAGAGTTAAGTCACAAGGGATAAAGACCAGGAGAGTCCAGGCAAAAGCTTCCAAGGCCCCTCACAGTGGGGTTATAAGAGGACACCCTTAATTCTCTCAGCAATGACATGTGACAACACATGCAGTGCCATAAACCAGAGAAGTCCCCTGAGCCACAATGTCCAGGGTTTTTATTGGGGGTCAGTCACATAGGCATGCAGCAGCCCTAGGACTGACTCAGCTACACAGGCTCCATCAGAGTAAAGACAGGCACTCCTGCTAAGCTGTCTCTTGTTGGGATAAATATATATGGTAAAATGGATACAGCATGGCCCAAGGTCTCAGACTTACAGAAATAGGCAGAATGTCCCAAAGGCCCAGAGATTATATCCCAGAAGCCAGCCATAGGCCATCCTAAAATTAGCAATGAAGAATGTGCAAGGTTTGAATAACCAACTGGGGCCTACTAAATTAACTCTTTCCTGCCAACTATCACATGCATTACTTCATTTCCTTAAAAAAAAAAAAAAAAAAAAACTAATAAAATCTTGTTGCCAAGTTAATAAGTAAAATAACTGGCTCACATTAATCCCCCATTGCCCTCCTCATGGCCCTAAAATTCTCCCTGGTAGCACATATCTCCCTGGTAGCTCAGGCTTCAAACAGTGCCTAGGTTATAGTAGTTACTTGAAAAATATATAAATTTATATGACAGGCTAGAGCACTGTGGTTGAAATTGGTGCCCTAGTCTTTTGAATCCCATATTGTTACGATTTTCCTATCTCACAGTGTCAAAAACAAACAAAAATAAAGAAAATTCTGGAAATAAATGTGGCCGTTCTGTTTACCTCTTAGAATTTTTATAAGGCCCTAGAATATTCCTCAGAGCCGAAAGAAACCTCAGATTATATTATCCACCGTTCCGTTTTAGATTTTAAAAAGTTTCATTTTGTACAGAGACATTGTTAGATATAAAGAGATTACATTTGCAGTTGCCGGCAAATATCAATAGAATTTTAGTTTGAGGTAAGGACAAGTATGTCACCTGTATTTTCCCTTTTTCACAAAATGAATGCAATTGAGGAATGTGTGTCTTGTTGGCAAGGGAGTCAGAGGGCTCGTATGTGACTTCACACCTCTGTTTTAGCTTTTCCCAAGTTAAGGAAATAATTCTTTGGGTTCATTTGCTCTTTTTGTCATTTTTCTTTCTAACATTTGCTTTATGTATCACAGTCTTTAAAATGCTGTACAAATACAGCTTCTAATTTGTCCTCCTGTGGGTCCCATGTGTCATCTCTCACTTCTCTTCGATGAAATGGCGACCTGTGGAGAAGGTTCTGTAGTCCAGTCATTATCAAACTCTAATGTGTGTGGGGGTCACCTGGGGATGTGTTAAATGCAGAATTAAGTTTAACAGTCTGGACAAGCTTCCAAGCAGGCAGATGCTGCTGATCTGTGGACCATGCTTTGAGGAGCAAGTCAAATGCCATCTAAATTATTTCTTTTTTCTCCTAATTATCTTCTCTAGTATTGGCTCACTGCCTCAAGACTATTTAGACAGACATGAAGCATTCTGTTTCCTAACAGCCCCTAAAGAACACATTTTAAACAGTAACAAGAGACACCTAGAGTATTAGTCCATTTTCACACTCCTATAAAGAAATACCCAAGACTGGGTAATTTATAAAGGAAAGAGGCTTGAGTCGGTTGCACATGGCTGCAGAGGCTTCAGGAAACTTACAGTCATGACAGGAGGTGAAAAGGAAGCAAGGACCTTCTTCACATGGTGGTAGGAGAGAGAAGAGCAAAGGAGGAACTTCCAAACACTTACAAACCATCGGATCTCATGAGAACTCACTATCAGGAGAGCAGCATGTTACAAACCACCCCATGACCCAATCGCCTCCCTCCCTCCCTCCCACATGTGGGGATTACAAGTCCCTCCCTCAACACATGGGAATTACAATTCAGGATGAGATTTGGGTGGGGACACAGAGCCAAACCATGTCACCTAGCCCATTTATTCCAACATGGCTGATAATAAACATGAGCTTCATCTAGGCTGACATACAAACTCTGAAAAAAGAGCATCTTCTACCTAAAGTTTCTTTGCTTTTCATGCTGTTTTAAATGCCTTATTTCATGATCAAAGAATGAAGCTTACAGTTTTTATTTCAGAGACCAAAATCCCTCCTGTAAGCATAGAGGCTTCTGCATGGGGCAGAGTTACATCCCAGGAAGTGGACAAGCACTGGAGCTTTACATCTCAGTGACCGACTGGGAAATCACAATTTGTGTTTTCATCACCTCATTTCCAAAGGCTAATAAGCACTGTTTTTCAGATGACTATAAACAAAGCTCAACCTCAAACAAGATGCACTCCCTGCTTATCAATGGTTTTGTTGCTGCTGCTCCTTACGCTTCTGAATCAAAGAAAGCTCATTTGTTTCACTTTGTGAAAACTCCTCATTGTTCCCCCAGACTTTCCATTTCACGCTGGGTGAATTTTATTAAGATCTCTTTCAGAGAAGCTAAGTGCTGGCTCTGTAGGGCCCTAAGGGACCACAGCTGCAGCCTCCAGAACGTCTGAAGCCACTTGAGACAATTTTTTTCTATTGAAAACTCCTTGGAGAATCATAGAGAAGAATCTAAAATCTTTTTGGTGCTTAGTTTCTCCTCATGAATATTTTGATGTTATAACTTGAAAATTGCTTGATGTTATAACCTGAAACTCGACACAGAAATCCAGTTAATGTCCAGTATCCAAATATTAGCATATTGATAATGGGTGGGTCTTTCTGAAAACATTCAATGATTTTTAAAAGCTAGCTTCAAATATTAAAATATTTTCCATTTTAGAGTTAGCCTTTGTTAATGAAACTTTTCTATAATCCTATTGAATAACAACTTGTCAGTGGAGTTTCTCCAATAAAAAATGTTTTTAAAAAGTAATTCTAATTAGTTGAAAAAGAATCTGCATTCTGATTTTTCCCTGAATTGACATACAAATTTTATTATATACACTCAGAAATGACATAGTGATAGCTATTTGTCCGTAATATTGTATCATGATAGCATAATAGTGTATATCATAATGGCAGATAAAAATACTGTAATTAATCTAGCCATTTTTCTATGGTAGATATTTAGTTACAGACTTTCCCAGTGATGAAATTAGTAACAGCTAACATTTTTGAGTACTTAATGTGGGCTAAGCAACACTAAATGTTTTTGTATCAACTCTTTTAACCTTTTTAAGGATCTTGGGTCCATTATTATTCCTACTTTAGAGGTGTGGAAAGTGGGTACTACCAAGTTGAGTAACATTCCCAGGGTCAATTGCTGGTAAATGGCAGAGCCAAAGTTTCAACCAGATATTCTCATATCCAAATAGAGTCTCCTTTCTGCCTTGTTGTACCCCAGGTTATACCAAGATTTGCGTAAGGACTCAGTTTAAATAAAAGATTCAGCCTGTATGTGCAAATCCATAAACTAAAAAATATGTAAAACTAAAGTGTATTGAATATAGTTTTCTCCTTGTTCCAGTAAGTATAAAATTGCAGATTTATCGTGAGTTCTTTAAATTTCAAGAGCTATCAGCTCATAGGTAGTAGTGCTATTATGTTACAAGGTAAAACATTCTTAAAGAAAACATCTATTTTTACTCATTAAATATTGGAAATCATCCACTGCCATACCTAAATCACTTTTTTTCTGTTCCTTTACATTGTTATGAATGTTTCATTTTTAAACATCCTAATGTACCTGGATTTTTATTTTTAGTTTCGTTTTCATATACCATTTAAAGTTGCATCTTTTGGTTGGTTTGGTTGCGGCTGAAGCAGCCTTACTAACTCCCATGGAGGTCAGGAGGAGGCGGCAAAAGAGCAAGGGCATTGATTACATGGAAAACGGTGACGCACTTGAACACACGGAGACCTATCTCTTTCCCCTGTCTCTATTCTCACAGAATGTGCGACACAGGAGAAGGACTATTCACTTTTCAAACAAGGGAAGGAGAAATGATCTATCAGAAGGTCCATTCTGCGACACTGGCCATAGCTGAGCAACATGAAAGATTAATGCTAGAGATGGAGCAGAAGGCCCGGGTAAGGCCCTTTCCCTGGTAACCTATCAGCTTGGAAATGAATGTCACTGAGGTCTGATGTGCAATGTGGATGTGTGGGGCCATTCACACCGGTGCCTCAGTGTCCACCCTGCCCTGATGCTGAGGACTTACCCTACCCTCTCATCTCTCTAATATCCTACTCAATATGTCACAGAAGAAGTTGTTCGTGGCCACCAACTCTGAGCCCTGCACTTCTGGCATCTACCCATAGAAGGCCTGTTGCCTTGGATGTCAAAGAGAGTGGCTTGCATAATCAAATAAGAAGCAATGTTGTCTGCATGTCCCCACATACAGTTGGACAATCTGAGATTTAAATACGGGCTCAAAATAACTAGGAAGATTAAGTTCTCGCCAGAAAGGGTTCCGTTTTTTAAAAATCTTTATGTTTATCCTAGCTGCTCTAAAACTTCTAGCTCTTTCTGTGTATATATAATAAAATGTTTGCAGAAGGAGCTTATTTTGGTTGCCAACAGAATAATTTGTCTATCGTCTTGTCCTGGAACTGTATTCCAGTTTTAGGATCAAGCTAAAAAATAATCCAGTAACAAATCTAAAGTAGTAAATTCTATCAATATGACTAGCTAAAAAATAATAAGATTTACTACCAATTTGCTTAAAAAGCAAACAGTGGAATGACCATTGATTATAATCTTAAGAGATGAGTATTACTTTCTAGGATTTATAAACATGCGTTAGAGTTCATCTATGGAAGGACAGTTGGTGTTTGGGAAGCATCTATAATTCTCTTTGTGAAACATCAATAAGTCTGTTCTAGTTTAAGACAGTGAAGTTTTATATTACTGTTATCTTAGTTTTCATTTCTAAAATTCTATGAAATATTTTGAAGTATACATTTCTTTTAAAGAAAACAAAGAAATAGTTTAAGTGATCATATGTTATTCTTAATGCACTTCTAAGTTTCTCAATATGACATGCATATATCTATCTCTCCATCTGGGGTGTGGTTAAAAGAGCTTTCTTAACACCTCAGGAGGGAAAGGGCAACACAGGACATTGGACTCCCCATGGGACTGAAAGAGTAGCTTGAGTTTTAGTAGGATGATTAAGATGTGACTGTGGGAATGACTAAAGAATCAATCAGAGAGGGCTGGTAAAAATTTTCTAGGAAAACTTGGGTTAACTATAAATATTGTAACAGTTATCTAGTCAATATGATGTTTTTCTAGTGATTAACATCAGGTGGGAAACATAAGTATCAAATTTCAAATTATTTCAGAGCTATGCACATTGATCATCAGCCCATATTTTCAGTCTGCTGATTTTCAACCATAATTAACCATGGGGTTAACCATGATGTCAACTTGCTGTTAGTTAACCTTTGTACTTCTTTACTTATAGTTGCTTTAAACAAGTAAGAACTCATAGAGTGATTTCAATTATATTTTAATGATGGAAATTCCAAGAGCTCTTTCACATACTGTAATTATCTGCCATAAAGAGGAGCACACGATTGGTGCTCTGGGCTTGCATCCCAACATCACCACTTACTGGCTGTGTAATCTTGGGCAAGTTATTTAACTCTTGTTTTCCTTTATTCATAACAAGGGCATGTAATAGTTCTCTTCATTTGGTTGTTATGAGGTTTCTGTGCATTCATCTACATAAAGTGCTGAGAATCAGACCAAGCACACAGAAGTACTATGAAAGCGTTCATTATGATGAGGGTGATGTCGGAGTGACCTCGAATAATTATCAGAGTTGCTATTATGGCTACATAATATCCTTCAAATGCTTTCAAGTGTTTTGTGCTGAAACATTTGCTAAACAAAATTTAATTAACTTTTGTTGTTGATGTTATATATTTCTCATGTCCTGTGCCACTGAGAAGAAAGTCAAAAGACTGGAGGCAAGTAACTGCTGTTAATGGCTTAGAGATGAGATAATGGATCCAGTCACCATAACCTCAGGCAGTCTAGAACTAGGGTGTACACCGCAGACATGAGTGCTCGTATCAGTGCTGAGACAGATAGAAGGGAGAGTGCAACAAATGTTTAACAGCAGGCTCAATAAGGCTCAACAGAGGAACAAAATGTTTCTAGAAATCACAAAATCAGAGACTCCATCACTTGGCACATACATGTCAATAGAGTGCTTGGTTCAATTCCAGAAATGATTTTACAACTGTGCTTTTCTCTGAAGGTTAATGCTAGTAAGAATTACTCCATGAATAATTTGTTCTTTAGAGTAAACCGAACTAATCCTTTTCCAAGTGCAAGCTGCCTCCATTTGATAAATGCTTCAATTTCTAAAATTCTACTACCATAAGCTAAGTTTTCCAGTTCTCCCAGATATAATTTTTTTTAAAGATACCTCCTCTACATACACAAAACTGTTGTTTGAGACAGGGTCTCGCTCTGTTACCCAGGCTAGAGTGCAGTGGCGTGAACACAGCTCACTGCAGCCTTGACCTCCTGGGCTCAAGCGATCCTCCCATCTCAGCCCAACTAGCCGGTACCACAGGCCTGCACCACTACTCTCAGCTAAATTTTTTTTATAGAGACAAGGTCTTACTATGTTGCCCAGGCTGGTGTTGAACTCCTGGGTTCAAGTGATCCAACCTTCCTTGCCCTCCGAGAGTGCTAGGAATGCAGGCGTGACCACCATGCCCAGAGATATAAAACGTTTAAAAACAACTTCCAACAAGTGTGAAAGAATATTTAAATACTCTCTAACTCTTCATTTGCTATTTAAAATACAAAATTATAACTTAAAAGTTGGATAAACAAACTCAAGTGAGAAATGTCTCAACAACCGTTTCTTACTATAAAACAAAGAATATGATCTTTTCATGTCATATAAGACCTTATTTTGTCCTTGTTTATAGCCTTCTTAAGGGGGAGGGGCACATGAATAAACATATTTGACATGTATCCATAGTCTGAAATAGGCCATATTTCTATTTTTGCGTGAATCTGATGTCTAGAAAAATTTCTCAGCATTGTGAGAAAACATCGCATTTGCCACTCAACAGAGTAACTGGATAAAAGAACCACTAAATTGGTAAGATAATTAAAAGTGCATGTTTTGATTTCCTTCATGAGAACAAAAAAATTATTAACTGACAATTAATATGTTAAGGAAAAGTTATCTGTTTATTAACCATCCACAAGACTGTAAAGTGCTTGCTGTATGCTAATGCTAAGTACCCGGCAAGGTGGTATAGAGAAATACAACAGAAGAACAAGGAAGTTCCTTCTCAAGTAGCCCAGAATTGTGTGGGATCAAATAATTTGTTCTGCCCAGAACAAGATTACCCCATGTCCTTTGACTCCTTGAAATACCAAACGTTTTCCATACATTCATATATGGGTAAGACATCACCATCACCAGATTTTGGTACACGATGAAAACACCACTTGAGCTTGTTCATTGTCATGGAAGTAGAACCTGATTTTTTTAGATAATCAACTCATTGGAGTCAGCCCTCCATAGAATGAATTTCTGTTACTAGAAGATGACGTGCTTGCCATTTTGCATACAGATGTATAGCTACAGCTTCTCATTCCTGCCTCTAAGTGAGAATCAGAAAGTGGTCTTGGCAGAAAAGGAGACAGGAATCTTAAGGAGTCTCTATACCTTCTCCATTTTCAAACTACAAACCAGTCTAATTTTAAGAGTTTTAAGATGCATAGGAGAATTAAGCTAAGGTAATACATACTAAACAAGAACTACTTTTGAGGAATTAATGTGTTTCAAGTATTTGAGAAAATGATTAAAGCTAGATATTTGAACAGAATATGTTCATCTCTAGACTGTTTCCATTTTATAGAGATCATTCTTGTTCTTAGAGCTAGCAGACTTCTTTGGTTTTGATTGCCAAAAGTGTCTGTAGATGGTTTGACATGCATGTGCAACATTATCAAAAAAAGTTTGACATTCTTTATGATAGAAGCCATTCATTAGAAACTATATCACAAATGTACCCATGTGACTTAGCCTGTTAAGGTTGAGTCTAGGCTGAAATCATCATGGACAAGGCCTCAAATGGATTGAAATAATTTTAGATTTTCGACCTGTTTTACACACACATACAATTCAGTGAAAATGCTTTCTTTTTAAATGTGCTTTTACGTTCTTAAGCAATTATAAAATGCTTACATGTAACGAGCAGTTGAGAAGACATGAGAAATTGCTTTAACAGTTATAAACTTACCCAACTACTGATTACTACCAGTCTATGAAATATTTTTTGTTCAAATACTTGCATGAACTGGAATATACTACCATATTGCATCAATTTCAAGATACACATTTTTTTCATTTTGACATCTCTCAGTTCAAATGAGTTATAGTTTAATCAGCAGCACTAATCATTTTTAGTGCTACATAAAATGACGTTTTATCTTACAGTTGACAGCATCTTAGAGTGTAAAATATACAGTATTACTTTTTATAATCACAGAACACATGCTTATTTGTAACTTGAACTAAGAAAGCCTTTAAGGTGAATTCTGTCCTCAGCAACTTGGTTTCCGTTTTAGTAAAAACATTTTTCTACATTTTACAAGATTCTCTATTAGTATAACAAATTTTTCTCAATCAAAACTATGAAGAATTTGAAAGCATTATACTCTAATGAGAGTTATATAAATTAGTAAGTCTTTGCAGTTTCTTTTCTGGGTACATTCACAGATGTTTAAGCGTCTTCGAAAAAGCTAAGTGTGTGTGATTGCAAGTGGTAACTGATATTTAATATGTAAGAATAACTGTAAATAAAGTTATTCTTCAGAGTTCTATTCATGATTTTATCACTCAGTATTGTCACTATTAATCATAAGATTCAAGCTTTTATGATTGCCGAGAGTGATCACTTTTCTGCCAGGAAATATTATTTGCATATTTATGATTTTTTTTTTAGCTGATAGTCATGGATTGTGATAAAGCAACACAAGCTGAATTATTATGGTCAGTAATGAAAATGTGAAAATGGATCTGTGATCCAAATTAATCAATTCACTT